AAAGAAAGAAAGAAAGAAAGAAAGAAAGAAAGAAAGAAAGAAAGAAAGAAAGAAAGAAAGAAGAAGGAACTGGTGAAGTAATATCTAATCTTCTTGAACTGGTGAAGTAATAAACTTGAATCAAAAGAAAGAGAACATAAACTTCACAGAAATGCATGAAAAAGAATAATAAAAGGGGAATAAATACTCAGACTGACTGAAGAAATCATTCTAAATCTTTAATGTTTATCGGAGGTTACCTGGATGTATCTATTCAATATATCTATAGTTATTTAAATGTTAATAGTTCATAACTATATTAGACCTTCGCCCACAGTTATGACTTATGTTATTCCCCAGCACGCTGTTGTTATGGCTCTGAAGCAGAAAACAAAAGAATGGAGAAGCCCTCTCCATGGGAATGCTACTGCATTCCCAGTAGCAACATCACAAACCCCCAAGTCTAAGAGCAACAGTAACCATGAGAAACCAGTAGCCACTTGTCTGCCATGTGAGGGTTAAATGATAAAAACACATGGTTTCCACCTTTTGCTTCTCAGATATCTCAACAGCAAAGCAACACTGCGGACCAGTCTTGGCTTTCTAAAACAGTTCTTTCCTCAGCTTTCGTGACCCTAGTTCCTCTCAGTTTTCTCCTAACCTTTTGGTTGTACCTTCTACATCTCCTTTGCTAAGTCATCCCCCTCCACCAGACCTGTAAATATCAATATTCCTCCAATCTGAGTCTTAACCTTCTTTGTTCACTCTCTGTTCCTCCTAAAGTAATCTTATTCCACTCATAGCTTTAATAAATATTCAAACGCCTGTAGCTACCAACGTGTTATCTACAGACCAGACTTCTAATCTTTGCTGCAGGCATACATATTAGACCATGGACTTTACTTGTCTTACATGTGCCAATGACACCTCAACCTCAGCAAGTCTGAAATCAAACACCTAATCTTCCTTTCAGGGTTCTCCATCTCGGTGACTTCATAACAATATGGGAACTTGGAATGCATCCTTGACTTCACCTCTCCATCACCCACCAGAGCTAATCTACCATGAAGTTCTCGATTTTCCTAAACATTTCTCAATTCTGCTTTTTTTTTCATCTTCACTGGCCCTAACCAAGACCAAGCTACCATTATTTCTCACTTTGACTCCTAACTTCTCATGTCTATTCTTGATCTTTTTTTTTTAAAGATTTTATTTATTTATTTGACAGACAGAGACACAACGAGAGAGGGAACACAAGCAGGGGGAGTGGGGGAGGGAGAAGCAGGCTTCCTGCGGAGCAGGGAGCCCGATGTGGGGCTCGATCCCAGGACCCTGGGATCGTGACCTGAGCCGAAGGCAGACGTTTAACGACTGAGCCACCCAGGTGCCCCTCTATTCTTGATCTTATCTGCAACCACCATGAACATTTTTAACACACAGATATGATTGTGTAATTCCCCTATTCAGATGCCTTAAATGACTCACTCCCCACTGCTCTTAGGATAAGAACAAAAATCCTTAACTTGCCTACAAACATTACAGGATCCAGCCTCTGCCTACTTCTCCAAATTCATCTCTTATAACTCACTCCCTCATTCCCTGCCCTCCAGCCATAATGACTCAAAAATGTCATGTTCTGTTCCAGTTTTCGCCATAGAAACTGTCCCTCAGGGCCAGAGGTATTGGTGCACATTGAATCAGCCATAAAAGTATCCTAGTTTCAAACAGTATGAAGATCCCTAAAGCAATAAAAAAGAAAGTGATTATCCAAGAAATGAGAGATCTTCAGTACAAAATCCATTCAGTTTTTAGTCAACCAGAATCCAATTATGTCATAATTTAGGGGTCATTTGTATAACCAAATGGCCAGTCACATTCTTTCTACTTTTCTAGTATTCACAACTTAATTTATTTCCAACTTTATCTTCCTAATCATCTTAGTGGTTTTTCTCTAAGAATTTTTCAGTTTATTTGTGTTTTTCTTAGACCAGTACAGGCATGAGAGCAGTAATCTAAAAAGAGTTTTACCAATACTAAATATATTGGTAGAATATTATGGTTTTTGTGTGGCAAACCAATGTTCCTTCTCTAAAATATATTCATGTTTGTTAAATGACACAACCACAGCACCACCTCATGGCTTCTAAATACTCATCTACCCTAATTAAAAAGCACAAACTTTACATGAGTCTGTGTTATGTCACATAAAATAGAAGTATACCACTGCTTTTTTATTTTCTAAAACTTCTTCAATTGTTTTGCCTAAAGGGTTCAGGTCCAATGTCACAAGTAGCCTGCTATTGTATCAGTCTCTACTGATACCTTCTAGGAGCAAACAATCAGAACATTCGATAATGACTTGATTGGTTGACTGTTAAAGTTCATAAATAAAAGTTAAAGCATATCTTATGATTCTATTTGTGAGAAAAGCTGCTGGCCACTTTGAGTCAATATAATCAAAACTCAAGGAGTGGACCTGCATACACTGAGGATGATGCTTAACTTCCCTAGGAGATGAAAAATATGTTACTAAGTAAGTGCACTGAGGTTTTATGCAAGAAGGAAGTAAGGGCATGGAATGTGGCAAGACAGAGGCCCAAGTCTATCTGTGCAGGGAAAAGGGTTATCTGGAAAAACTTCTTAAATGAATGGAGATCAATTATTGCTTATAAGGATTTGTTATTTTCAAGAATTTAAATTAAGGAACAAATTGATCCTAAACAAAACCATAAAGAAATTTTAAAAAGAAATCTCACCTAGCCATAACAGATGGACATTTTAAAAACAGATCCCAAGAAATCAACCTTTCAGAGACATACAACCTTAACTTCTTAAGATAACTACATATTCTGAGTAAAATGGGTGCTAATATATACCCTTATTCACTGTTCCTAAATAAGCGTATTTCTGCTCTGAGCAGTGTACTTTCAATAACATTAAAGTAGATTCTACTCACTGAGAATAGTAACAGTGTGCAACTAAGTATCCATATTTATTTTTTAATTTCTATCATTTAAGCTGAATGTCTTATTTTGGAAAAAATGAACATTAAAATGAGAAATATGAATTCCAGTAGTCACTTGTATATTTCATAACTGTTCTTGTTGCTTGAGAAAACGTCTTTACCTGATTAAGGACCTTCTGCAGGTGTGGGGTCCCCATCCGATCAGCAATATGTCTATAAGCCGGGTGCGAGAGAAAAAATTTCCTTTCGGCCAACATGGCAGCCTTAATGTCCTTCTTCCCATCTATATCCTTCTGGCTTCTGTTTACCACCCCCACATAACCTGAAACAGAACACATACAATGTGGTTTGGGACACTTGTTTATTCTGGGGAGATTTCAAGGCTCTCAAACAGGCTGAATAAGAAAAGCAAAATTATTTTTAAGGGCTGAAGAATTGAACCCTTTATAAAACTCAATTTGAGACATCAGTATTTAACAAAGGCTGGCTGATGTGGCTAATGATACTTTTTTTAGCATTAACACAATAATGTCTTTTGCCCGTTAAAAGCTCTGTACATTTTAATACAGTGTGTCCCTTAGCAGCTGTGTTATATGATGGGCAAGTTAGTCACACTTAAAACAGCACAGTATATGTTTATGCAGTCTGTGATGAATATTTATATCCTCCCTTCAAGCTCCTTCCTTTTCCTGCTTTCTTATTCCTGTTATTTTAAGGAATAGTTCTCCCTTTGGATCATTTTTAAATATATCATTTGGGAACGTTATGCCATTCCAGAAAAAGTATAACTAATCATAAATACATTCCTCACAACTGTGAAGGCATAAAACCAAGCTTCGCATCGGTTTCCCAATTGTTTCTCTGCCACATCATCAAAGGAAGTCCTGTATAGGACACGGTACGTTACCCCTGCGAAGAGGCAGCAGCTTGTTCTCTAGAACCTCCCTGGCATCTGTTCCTTCATCCATAAGATCCAATTTGGTGATGACTCCAATGGTTCTTAAACCTGAATCAAAAACAAACCCAGTATTACATAGTTTGCAGAAGACTAACAAATTTTAGAGACATACATGTCCCCATGCTAAATGCAGACACTCATATTTCTGGTCCTTTTCCTGTTCCTCTCTGTCTCACTTTGTTTTCTAATCTGCTGCTACCCCAGTCTGGTGAGTTTTGATGTGATGAGAAGGAGAGTTGTAAAACCACCCATACATAAGGTAACTTTCACTTCAAGAGAGAAAAAACCAAATAGGTATATCACCACAATAATTTTAAACACATGCATTTATTTTTGTACCATGCATACATGGAAATTATACACTTAAAATTTTCCTCCAAGGTACTGTACACAATATGGGTGCTTTAATTTTTTTATGTATTACCTTATTGAAAATAAATAAACAAGTAGGACCAATGAAGAGAGTGTGTCATAAACCAAAGCTTATTATTGATCCAGTTCTAAGCACTTGACAAATAAGAAGAAGAAAATTAGGTATAGGATAGTGTCATCACCAAAAACAAAGTTTCAAGTCTCATAGCATTCACTGTTCATTAGAAAAAGATATATGACTTAATGGAAGAAGACCAAACTAAGAATCCTGACATTTGGATTCCAGTCTCAAGGCAAGTCACCTAACTCTCTTCTCTGGGTCTCAGTTTTCCTATCCGTAATATAAAGAGTTGGAAATGATAATCTCCCAGGTACCTTACAGTAATAAAACAATATAAAAACCTAGACACTTTATGTAGCACATCAGATACTTCGCCTTTGCCTATTGTTTTCTTCAGTAGATAAAATGAACAACGTTTGCCTAGTGATTCATATTTTTTTTAAAGATTTTATTTATTTGACAGAGAGAGACACAGCAAGAAAGGGAACACAAGCAGGGGGAATGGGAGAGGTTGAGAAGCAGACTTACTGCAGAGCAGAGAGCCCGACGCAGGGCTCTATCCCAGGACTCTGGGATCATGACCTGAGCCGAAGGCAGATGCTTAATGACTGAGTCACCCAGGCGCCCCTCGTGATTCATATTTTTAAGTGCATTTCTTTGGACATGATAAATTGAATACACACCTTTATTTTTTTATCTGAAACCACTCTAAAATGGCTAATATTTATTAGGCCAGCTATGGTTTTACATGCTTTACATGTCTTAAATCATTTACTCTTAAAAAGGTTAAATCGTTTAATCTTAAAAAGGACTCCAACTATATTTTTTTAAGATGAGGAAACTAAGGCAGAAAGAGATTAAGTAACTTTCCCAAGGTCATACAACAGGTGGGTCTAGGCATCCAGAGCCCATGCTTTTAACCAATATACTGCTTACTGAAATACAAAGAATTTTAAAAATAAAAAAGGCTTAAACCAAGAAAGTAAAGAAAATGGGAGAGGACTGAAGAAAAATGTTGAAACTGTAAACCCAGCAGGATAACTGCTAACTAAATTAACAGACTAGAGAAATAGAAAAACTGCATCCAAGAAAGCCAACAACCAAAGCCCAGAAGCTGGATAATTTACATCACAGCCTCTCAAAAAGGTTGAGGGAGACCAATAGCTCCGACAATAATGGACGGTAGTGGGGGCAGTTGAGGTTGAAAACAAGAGCGCTGGATGAAAGCAGTGAGATTTCCATGGATAACATAGCTAGGAGTCACCCTGGCTCAACCTGGCAGGAGAGTGCAAGGTCTACTCTCTGGAAACACTGAACTATGGAAAACTGCACTAATGGGCACCTGGCCCAGTTAGAGGGCATCAGGTATTAAAAGAGAGTGATTAAGTGAAATTCCACATACTGAATAGCAAGACCTCTCTGCCCAGTCCAGTTTAAGAAAAAGCTGGCTGGTAGAATTTAGCCCTCCAAGCAGGAGATTGGAAAAACTCTGTCTGGGGATATTAACCATTCTTAGAGGGAAACATAGATATTAAAATTCAGAGGAACTCCAATTAAAACAGCCCAATAAATCAACATACTGTGAAGCCTATAACTCATTTAGTCAAGCACCCCACATAGAATTTCCTGTTAATATTTCACTTTTAAATATAAATCAATAAGTGTAGATTACCAATTGTTATCATACAAAATTATTACAATATTAATATAATATAAATAAAATACTATATTCCCCATAACTGACTTATTTATTTTAGCATTCTGTGATGTATATAATTATAGAACCACTATGTTGTATACCTGAAGTTAATACAATATTGTATGTCAACCATGCTTCAATAAAAAATAAAAATTTTAAAAAATTATTTTAAATGTGAATGGATAGCCAAGGAGAGTCTCTGAGACCAAAACAAATAAATATTGTAAAACAGAACTGAAGAAAACAAAAATAATACAAAATATAGAAAAAAACTTTATCATTTTTATTAATATCCTCAGAGAGAAAGGAGAGGTCATTGCATCCATGGAACAAGAATAGAATGTCATAAAAGGAAACATTCAAACAAACAAAAGGAATTCTCGGTAACAAAATATGAGAGTAGAAATTTAAAAAAAAATGTTAGTAGAATGGGTGGAGTAAAAAGTTAGAAACTCTTCCAGAAAACAAAAGAAATAGAAGTAAATAACAGAAAAGGAAAAACTTGTTTGAAACTAGAGAAATAGGGGCACCTGGGTAGCTCAGTTGGTTAAGCATTCGACTTTTGGTTTTGGCTCTGGTCATGACCTCAGGGTCATGAGATCGAGCCCTGTGTCAGGTTCTGTGCCCAGTGCAGAGTCTACTTGAGATTCTGTTTCTCCCTGTCCCTCTCCCCCTCCCCTGTTCTCTAACTCATTCTCTTTCTCTCTCTCAAATAAATAAATAAATCTTAAAAAAAGAGAGAGAAATAATGCAGAAGATCCAATATCTGAATAATTGGCATTCCAGAAAAATAGAGAAGATGAAACAGAAATAGTTGGGGGGCAATACTATTCAAGAAAATATTCTATAAGTGAAAGATTAATTTATGTATTGAATAAATCCATCAAGTGTCCAACATAATATGAAAAACACACACACAATATGGCATAGCAGTATAAGATTTCAAAACACTAGGAACAAATAAAATATCCTAATAAGCTCCCAAAGAAGTTAAGAAAAGAAAGTGACAAAAAAAGTTTGGAAAATCATTATAGCATCAGTCTTCCCAGCAACAAACTAGAAACTAAAATTCAATAGAGTGCTGTTTTCAAAATTCTGAGTGAAAAAATTATTTCTAGCCTAGAATTCTAAACTATTGATAAATGTGACAGTAGAAAAAGGTATTTTCAGACTTGCAAAAATCTCAAAATATTTTACCTCCCTTTCTCTTTCTTTGGAAACTACTAAAGGATGTGTTCCACCAAACATGGAAAGCAAACTACAAAGAAGTAAATAAGAGATCCAGGAAGCAAGAAATGTAATAACCAAAAAATGAAGGGAATTTTCAGGATGGTGTAGATCTCAGTACTAGGCCAGAAGAACAATCAATATCTATTTGAATGAGAAGGCACAGATTATTGGAGAGATATATTTCCCCACTAAGAAAAAAAAATGGAAGTGCTAGAACACCTAATGCCTAAGATTTTTGAAGGTATTAAGAGATTTAGACTCCTAGAGGAGAGGCTGAGAATGCACTGGTGATGAATATTTAGAAGACTGCAAACAAAAAGAAAGACAACTATCAACCTCAAAGACAGCAATATCATGTAAGAAGGAAAACGTAATCATAATTTACACAGGACTCAGCTGCGAATGATATCTTCAGAATCATAAATATTTAAATATAATTATATTAGTAGAACATGGGAGGGTAAGTGTATATATGTATGGTTAGTATATGTGGGTATGGGAGAGAGATAGAAGACAGCTAAATTCTTCTCTACAGTAGGAAGTCAAAAGTGAAAATCAAAAATAAAAAATCAAGAAATAGTAGTATGAACAGGTTACACAGAAATACGGAGGTAAATACCAAAAGAAAGTAAAAAGTGATAGCCTCTGGAAATCAGTAATCAAGAGTCAGGAGGAGTGCACAAGGGACCAATAGTTTTTCTTAAAAGCCTTTGGGACTGATTTTTAAGCTATGTATGTTTATAACATTAATAAAAATAAAAGTTCAATTTTAAAAGTATTCTCTTTACTACTCCTTTATTTCTGCAAAGGCAAAGAAATCTACGCTTAATGGTATACCAGAAATGGCAAAGGAGATTATTTTCTTTTCACATTTAGTTATACAAATAGGCAGCTTAAAATAATCAATGAACTCCTGCTGGCATACTAGAGACCTACACTGACAAATCTCAAAAAGCCATTGCCAGAAGAGATTCAAAGGCAACGTGCTTTAAAAGCACTTCACTGGTAATCTAAAGACTCAGATAAATATAATAGAGACCATGTATTGAGTCCTGATTATGTACTGGGCATAGACTTGAAACAACTCTATGAGTGGGTACCATTATTTTCTCAATTACACAGATCAGGAAAGTGAGATTTGGAGAGGAAAAGCATGCTTACCTAAAAGCTTGCAGCCTGTAAGGTGTGGAATCCAGGCAACCTAATTCCATTTTTAATCACTGTATTTTTCTGCCACCCAATTCTTAGCTAGATTCTACAAGTGATTAGGTCTGTTATTTGGCAAGTTAGTTACATCATCTGGGCCTGTTGATCTACATATAGAACCAAAAGATTAACTAGATGTCTCTTTCAAGTCCAGAATTCTGGGAAAGAAAACAATTTCCAGATTTAGAAGAGGTTTATACAATAATAAGTAAAGAGTAATTTAATAAAATTCTTGTCCTCTAACTAAAAGGAAAATAAAAATAAAGAGCTAATAAATAATGTGTGATACTGTATTTCAATTATGTTTCTTCAGCAAAGAATAGTCATAATGATGAGTGCTGATGAATCCTGACAAAGACCTTGAAAAGACATACAAGGCACTTCCAAACTGATTCTTATATAGCATAGAGGCTAACAGCACTCACTCGAGGATCAGATTTTTTCGGTTCAAACCCATCAGTGCCTCTTATTAGCTCCAAG